GTCAGCCAGCTCTTCTCTCGCCGAAAACTGGAAAAATGTGTTTGAGCTCCTTTGAAGCTCCTTTGTTATTACTGACACTGCGAGGGCAATGTGCTAACAGATTGTTATTAGTTTACAAGAACTATTTGTTCAGGGTCGATCATATTACAGTGTAAGCACAGGGAGTAATTTCCAAACCAAACCCCTCACAAAACAGGGACTTCTTTAGCCTTATGATCTCCCCTGAACACCTGGCCACTTGTGTTGCAAACATGTCCTCTCCTGAGATGATGTGTCTGTTCATCCCTGGCCAGCTACTGTCAATCGATCTATTCGTATTCATTATACAGAATATCTTCTATGCATAGTTTTCACTATGAAGCACTGTGTCTTGTACAGTATGTGTTAGACAATGAAATCTTTATTTCATTAATGTTTAGTGAAATCCTTGGAAGAATGGTTGTGCCACCTTCTGTCTATATGGACACATTCAAGAAAATTCAGTTTCTACTCAATTTATTGGGTTGGTTTTTCATGGCATTAAGATTAGTGCTTTCATACGGTAAACCTTTTTGATATCTGTATGTATCACAGATTGCTTTAGTGTAGGGGAGGGTTGATTTGCCTCATTCTCATGCCCAAGAGCCCCAGAATACCAGTGAGGCTGGGTGTAGCAGACAGATCCCACTGGGCACTTTCGGTTACATACTTGGGTGTATAGTATGTTGATATTGAGTAGATACAGTACAGTATAGTGCATTTTACCCACTTTTCAAAGCCACAATTTTGAGGTTTTCACTGTGATTCTTGGCACTGATGATCATGAGCACAGTAAGCCATTTGGGTTGATAGGTGCAGTGCATGTCTTCATCATGCAAAGTGTCATTATGGCTTCTGTGCCCAGTGTTGGTCTTCTTAATTTTAATTCTCAGAATTGGAGTACTATACACTTTTACTTCAATTATTGTGCCCTGGAGAGCACCCAAATTAGGCAGTTTAGATTATAATACAGCAGCACATGTCAGATAACTATCTGCATGGATATTTTCAGGCTGTTAGGTTATACTCAGCAAGACTTTTAGGGTTGGGGGATGAAATTGGATCTCTTGTCTAAATGCACAAGATGCAGATCAATTTAAATTATTTGGAAATACGTGGTTTGCGGCAAACCTGCATAGAAGGAAACACTTCTGCGAGCCCGAAATAAAGCATGCATGTTTTTGCCGTACAACAGAATAAGCTTAACTTGCTTTGATACCTCAGATCCTAACATTATATTCACTCAACACATGCCGCAATGTAAGCTTGGAGTGAGTGTACACTTCATGTCAGTAAATACAGAAACAAAATACTGCAGCCCATGGATGTAGGTCGGTTTGTTTGTGTAGTGATGACTGATAATGCTACCCTTGAAACCTGCTTGGGGCAGTTCCTCAGTACTTTATTATTTAGGTTAAACAAATCAAGGGATCTTAATGAGAAAAGAAAAATAATAATAAGAAGCAATTCAAGGATAAGTTTGTATCGCAACAGAGAAACCACACTGTAAAATCCCCAGAGATCTTCAAACAGACAGCATTAAAGTGATGTCCCTTTTATCAGACTTCACAGGAAGATGCCTGTGCTCTAATAAAGTTGTAATTGAAAGGGATTTTCCACAATCAAGGAAAGGTTTAGAAGTTCAACTTTTAAACCTGGTGTTTCACCTGTAGCTATAATTCTTACCACAAGAGCAAGTTTAATTTGTTCCAGAGGTCAAAGAAAAGCCATTTAAACTGAAGTACAGTAGGTAACATAGGAATTCTAACTAAACCTACAGTATATCACTATCATGAAAGTATTTTTACTGCTTTATTTGAAGTGAAGTACTGTATATATCATATCCTTAATGGTCATGTTTGTCCTTTTATTATATTTAAAAAGAAACCCTGTATTATGTAAGGTTTTCATTGTAAAAAAGGTGGAAAGTTAACATGTTCATACTTTCGCTAGCAAACTAAAGTATCATAAATGAACTACAGAATCATATGTTGCTGCTATGTGAAAATTGAATTTGACTTTATTCTGCACAGCCCTGTTACACAACAAAAACCTTTGTTTTTCCTAAATAAACTAATACGGCCACAGCTGATTCAAAACATCAGTCAACTGTTCAATCAAAATATTCAGATAAAGTGCTTTAGAATAGGCATATGGATTTTCCAGGCTGACTTTAAGGCATTATTATAGTTTTATGCTCTTCTGAATAACCCTTCTTGTTCAGATGAGGTTGTTAGCCAATTTGTCTCCGGGATTTATATTTATCTAGCAGGGTGGCCTATAGTCCAAGCTCCTTGTTCCTTCCCTCCATCTCATAAACAACCATTGGCACAGACTTGAGCATCGGAGGCATCCTGCAGAAAAAATGATTTTTGAATTAGTCATATTAAATACCCTTCCAGTGATGGCAGAATGACTAACAGATGAAATTGCAGGTTGGCTGCAGCGAACAGATCAGATGGCAAGTTTTGTTTGTGTGTGGTTTGTGATTGAAGTTGCGGGGCAAACCAATCAAAGAGCCAGTGCCCTGAGCACTGTAAGAAGAACATTAAGGGAAGTCCTACTGCGGTGCCTTCTGAAATACATTTTTAATGAACTCCCTTTAGCAATCAGATGGGTGCGGGAACAAGTGTGATCTGGGGGCTGCAAACAAATTAGGGGCAGCATGCCTCCCGTTTTCCTGGTTGTATCACAGGGATGGTTCTAGGTGTTGCCTCTGTAGAGCAGCACACAATTTCCACTTCACAAGAAATTAAGTCGGCTTTTGTGAATGGAACGCCCGCTTCCTTGAATCATAAATCATGGAAAGAAGCGGATAGTGAGGGGATTTGCACACTTAAAGTGTGTTTGTACTTAAATCCAGGGTGGTTTAAATCACTGTTACAGTATTTCCATGTTGGTTGACTGGTAACAGCCAGTTGTGTTGGAAGTGGGATCAGAGAAAGGCCACCAGCCCCTCTGAGAATGATCTCATCTCTCGCTTCCTGTCCCCTCTCTTGCCCCTCTGTCTTCTCGGCGGCGTTCACGAAACCGATCCCCCTCGCTCGGCTCAGCCGTGTTACTGTAGGCTTCTCTGGCCTCCTCTGGTAACATGTTCCATATGGTTATTGGCCTTTGTGTGAAACAGTCGAAGACTAGTCAGAATTCCCTGTTTGCTCCTAATTTTGTAATTTTTGGATTTTATCCTGTAGTTTTTTTGTGAACCCTTCAAAAGTGTGAAAAGTTCGTCTGGATTAGCTTTATCAATTCCCCTTCTATAATTTAAAACCTCTGTGAGGTGACTTTGAAGTGTTCTTTTTCCTTTCCAATGAAAATAACCTTGACTTTCCTAACCTTTCCTCATGCTAGGAACACTGCAGAGACCCTGTATCATGTAGGCAGCCTTTCTCCTGATCATTGTCAAGGATCTTTAACATGTTGGAATTGTATATTAGTGATATAGCCCGGCCTCAGACTCCTTATTCACCATCTTGCATTCTGATTAAACTCCACATCCTCAATTCATATCTGCGATGTGCCACATAACCCCATGGCTCAAGTCCTGAACATTAACACTACAAGAATGTAAGTGTTTATGTTTAGTCTCATTTGTCTCTTGGCAGACAGTTGTACTATAGTCTTGTATGGCTCCAAAGACAGCCTCCTGACAAAGGTTGCGTGAGCCATTTTTATATTCTTTAGTTTATTAGTCCTGTTTTTTAACAGGTAATCACTCCAAGGTGTATAAATGTAAAAACGTCCTGGGGTCCCTGGTTTGCGTTCCTGGCAGTGCTAAGGATTTCAAGACACACCACACATCTCACTTTGAGTGTTAACAATGGCGATGATCTGAACTACAAATGCATTTTTGGCAAGTGACAGTGGAGCTCACTGGTCCTGGGCCATTTATAGCCCCTCCCTGGAGCCCTATATAGGCAGTGGTTTCTCTGGTACTGAATGTTTCCACTCAGTAGATCCTGTTGACAATACATATTCAGAAAGAGCAGGAAATACCTGGCATTGTGGTGGGACTTTAATCTAGCAGAAGACATTGTGTCACACTACTAGAATATTAAAGTACTATTTAAACTAAATTAATTTCGAAGTTAAGTGGTTTTGGGCGCCATTATGTTATATTGTGAAAGTAGGAAGTGGCTATGTGCCACAATGGTTTTGTGATTGTGGTTCATTTCTAGGAGCATTTATTTTTAAGTTTACCTAATGTCAGGGAAATAATGTCGCTTTCTCTAGATATGTTATTGATATGTTAATTTCTTGCTTCCTACTCCAGTGGCAATGACAGCCTCCTTTGTAAGGTCAGCTAACAATCAGTACAGTAAAATGTGTGCTTTATGTTACAACTGCCTGACAGCCACAACTGCCACAGCCTTTGTCCTCAGTGCTTACTGACTGAGTCTGTGTATACAACCTGATGTTACAGTCCAAATAGTTAAATCCAGCCACTGTGCTTCTACCCAGACTGCCATCTAGTGTATCTTTAGCACATGAGCAGTTTGTGTGCTGTCAACATGAATAAAGGTGCCTGTGATCATGAATATGTTTTTAAAGTTGATGTAACAATATGCAAGTGTTTTCACTGTATAATAATACTGATAATGCCTTACATCTGTGTACAGTGTGTTTCATCCCAAATCTTTCATCCCTAACTTCATCCACCAAACAGATGCAGTTTATTTGATTAAATTAGTGTCATTTTCATTTTGAACCGGTTGTAGAGCTTAGGATCTCCAGTAGAAAAATGAATGGATTTTGTTTAAAAATCCATGGTGACTAAGTTAGAATGTTTTCTTTACTGTACACCCCAGAGCCCTCCAGTTGGACAGAGGAACTTGGCGGTCATACCTTTGCGACAGAAATACATGAAACACAAGTGTTTTGAAATCCGTGCTCTTCTGTTTTCCAAAACTGCAGCCTGGGACCGTAAAGAGATGTGTACAGCCTACTGACGTGCTTTTCACCCTGTTGTTTCCTCCATTGTTCAGCATGATGTGTCGCAGACCTTGCTGAAAGCGGCGCTGGACAGTGTGGTGCAGGAGTGTGTGAGCTTTGTGGGCGTGGATATTAACATCTGCTCCGAAACCCTGATGAGGTAGGCGGAATACTTTCCAGGAGCAGTCATGGCATGGCAGCTGATCACAAACCCGCTGTGTTTAGTCTGCCACGCAGCTCAAGCTCAGCTCGGACGAAAGCGTCCTGTCTTTTACTGACAGCTACGCAAGGGTGACACGTCCAGACAGCGTCTCGCCCTCGTGTTGTTCGTCTCTGGTCAGCAGCTTCCCCAAGGATGTGGCGTGGCCTGCTGCAAGAGCTTCGGAATGATGACCTGTGTATCGCTGCCCTGTAAAATGGCCTAAACCAATAACGCAAAATGTTGTTTAAGGTGCCGATGCACAGCGCTGAGTTAACAATCTTGTATTTTTGAACTGCGCTTGGCCACTCTGAACCTTTTTATTTTTCTGTATTTGAAGCCCTATTGTAGTTGCAGGCTGTTTGCAGTCATGTGATTTGTTCACCTTAAAATTAAACATTTTTCCTTGCTTATGCTGTTTATATTATCTTATATGACTCTTTCATACCCTTTCTGAAGAAATATAATTAAAATGTATTTTAACATATCCTTTAGTCCTTGGGAAGAGTGTTAACGCATATTGTTCTTGGCATTAAATTGGGGAAAAACAAATGATTCATAAATTACAGTTTATGAAAATATTAAGTGCACATTTCTCACCTCTTTAAAGTGTTCTTTGTCCAACAAGCCTGCCTTAATATCTGTTTTTTTACATCTGTCATTGTTTTTTGTTTATTCTAAAGATGATATAGACACCTACGATATAATTCCAATTATTTATGTTAAAATTAGACACATTTTGAGGAATCAAAAAAGACTTTAAATTATTCTGAAAAGCAGTATGAAATGAATAATTTGACCAGCTTTAAGAGATGAGGATGAAAAAAACTGAGATGGTGACAAGAATATCTAAAAAAAAATCCAGAAGAAAAAGTTAATTCTTGTCGGTGATACAAGTGTTTAAGTCTTATAGTCTCTTATAGCCACTGACTATGCTGATCACAATTAAAGCAATGTTGAGTAGTGCTGTAATAGGAGCACATTATTCAAATTATGCACAACAAACGAATAGCTGAAGTGATAATATGCATTTATGATGTCAACTGTTTGCATTTCGTGCAAGATTGCAACCTCTGCCGACAGGGCTAGCATAGTCTCTCATTAAAGTGCGCCATGCGTGACATTATTATGCAGTAGCTCGTTTCCTCTCCTGATAGACATGTTGCAGGGCTCAACGCTGGCAGAGCAAAGAGCATCGTGGAGTGGAGGGAGAAGAATGGACCCTTTATAAACAGGGAGCAGCTGAAACAAGTCAAAGGCCTGGGCCCAAAGACCTTTCAGCAGTGTGCTGGCTTCATCAGGATAAACCCAGAAAATCTAAAGAACGTTCACAGGTACTGTAATTGTGAATTCGCCTTGTGATTGTGGTGATTGTATCCCTCTTGATAGGAAAGAACAAAGCCTGACTGTTTTTCAAATTCGTTTTACAAAGTATGGTAGCCGTAAATCCTAAGCTGATGAAAAAATAAGTGAGTAGACAAGTGGTTTTCCTTGTTACTGTAAACCTACTTTTTTCTTGCGAGAAAATGTTTCTGGATTGTAAAGTAAATGTTTTATATTACTGATGTTTGTCTGTTCTTGGCGTTCCTGGTGTTCCATGTACAGCCCTGGACTAAGGGTCGTGAGGGCACTGCTTCTTCACCTATGTGTCCTTTCCTCAGTGAGTCTTGGACTCACTGCTGTCTGAACATGGAATCTGACTTAATGATAATAGAGCATCACTGGATCAAATCTGTTAATTAACTGCCGGGGGTAGAAGCTGACAAAGACAATGTGAAAGGACTAATAAGAAGGGACACTAAAGGTGTGCATCTTTTTACGAACAGCTAAAGTCCCTGCTGTATAACCTTTGTTATTGCTTTTCTTTAATTGGATATTGTGTATTTACCTGTGTATTGACCTAGCATTAAGATGTTATGCCCCCACGTAAGGCCAACATATAGAACCCATTTGTTGTTGTATTTTTATGATATCAGCCCTTGTTAGATTGCTTCTTGCTTGCACCAGGTGTGAGCTGAGGGAATAGTGAAGGGGTCTCAGAATTGTCTTTAATGCTTTGGAGGTTTAGAATGGGAGCAAAAGTGATTAGGAATACAGTAGAGGCCATTTAATGAGGTGTAAGTGGTGCTGTTAGAGTAAATAGGTGAAAATCACAGGAGAAACCTACAGAGAGCTAACCCCAGAAGGACGGCTGCAGAAACAAATAGTGAAACAATCTATCTCTTATTTAGAACCAGTAAACACAAACAAATTAGAGTCGTTTTGATGTAATTTATTCTATAGTGGAGACTGGGCAAACATATTATGGTTCTGCAGTTCAATGAAGATCTGTGACAGAAGTAATCACCTTGGGTGTCCCTACTAAGGATGATCTCTCTCCTAGCTGGTGGGCAAATATCACAGTTGCTCAGTGAAAATGCAGAAATCACAATGAAAAGCCAGACTTATATTGTGCCTTGACTCTGCAGAAGTCAGTAGCCTTCGCAAGGCAATAATTCAGTGCTGTGATTCTCTTCATATAGGTTAACCGTGTGTGCATGCGTCTCTAATACCAAGCACTAGTGCTACTTGATACCACCCCCTACGCACGTACTGTAGCTTGCTCTTGTTTTTGCATCGCCAAACACCTTCGAAAGTTCAAGTATCAGCCACAAGTGTTCAGACCTTCTACCTCTTTAATTTGTCTAATTTGTGGTGGTTCCCTGACCGCAGTGATCAGGCCGGTGGTGCAATAGAGGGCCAGCAGGCAACCACAGCAGGCAAAACAGTGAAAAAGAAGAGCAAAGGACCAGGAAGCAGCAGTCCTTTGCCCAACCCCCTGGACCAGACCTGTATCCACCCTGAGTCCTACGACGTCACTCAAAGGTGAGCACCCACACCACCGATCTCTGCCCACCTCCCTCACACTCACCCGCATGGCTGTACCACCTGGTGCTCTTACTTCATTCCTTACTGAATAACTCGGGAAACCATTGAGTTGAAAGCTCTTTTTTATATTAGAGAAATGATTCTTCTGGGGATAGTTATCCAGAACAAGTATGAGAACACAGGAAAGTGAAAAGGGAAAGACTAAATAGGGCAGGTCCTGTTTCCATTTTTAATGCCTGAGAGAAAAATGATCCTAAAACTCTTTCTGGATGGAGACTTTCAGGTGCGACAACATTTCTTTTTTTTACCCAGGAATAAAGCTCTTTGTGCACTAAGACAAAGGATAAAGAGCTAAAGCATCTTATGTTTTAATTGCTAGGCGACTTAACTAAAGAAGACTTTAAGCACCAAATATTTGTGTCCGCCTTCAAAATAATAGTTTTATTTGAACATGCATGGAAAATAGAAAAATATGAATCAGGCCTGATATCACATTAGTTCATTTATTTGATAAACTACTGTATTTTGTATAAATCAGAGAAAGTTTTATTATTTTCTCTTCTGCATGGACATTTATGTTGCCGAACTAAATGTTCAGGGATGTGCTTGGTTTGTGACTGTACTAGATTTCTGTAGCAATACTGTGTAGCCTTGGAGCTAAGCCCTAAAGCTTGTTGGAACCACTCTTCTAGTCTGCATGTGTAACCAACAAAAGTATATTTTGACAGTTTCAGCTGACATTCATGTTGAAGTTTGCACTCAAATGAACAAGGTCTTGATTTAGACTGAACTCCAGCAGATAGGATTCTGTAAGTGTCAGAGAGCACTGCTGATGCTACATGTGAAACCTGAACGCCTTTGGCTTCTAGTTCAAGGTAAACAATGTGTGCAGGCTACTTACAGCACTACACAGCTTGCATTAATCAGACAGGAAAATTGAAATGTGCGCTTTGGTTAGTAGCTGCACATTTAATTTGGCAAAATGCTTGTCCTTCTATCCCCCCTACTTAGATTAAACTTGTTTTTACTTTAAGACCTTCAGCTACCCTCTTTCCTAAAGTATTATTTCAGTTATTCAGTCTACAATTTCTCTTGGACCAGTTAAGAACTTTGCTGATTATATTCGCTGTTCTCTTCAGACTCTGGTCCTGCTGGCAGTAGAAGAAAGCAGGTTTCTATCAGGGGAACCTTTGTCTTGAGAATCCATGAGGAATTTGTTTATGTAAAGCGTATTTTGATATACACTGGAGATGGGAGGATGAATATCATTGAATATAGGTGGTTGACTGGAGACATTCTGTCATGAGCACTGTGAAATACTTAAACATTTACATACAGATGTGGCCATATTTAGTAAGAAATGAAAATAACTTCAGTGTTGGTGGTGGGAAGAAAAGTGAAAATTTTTAAAAGAATAAGTCTTCTGTTTTAGAATTAAATGTACATCTATGAATATACTACATCAAAGCATCTCTCAAGTGTGATACTGTCACTTGAATAACTCATCTTGAAATCAGTGAAGTGCTGTAACTGAGCTGCTTGCTCTGTAATCTTTACCATCTCTCAAACAGTGAAAGACTCCTCATACAATAGCTAAACAAGCCTGCAAATGGTACAATACACTGAACTGCACACAAAGAGGATTCTCCACATTGAAGATCTCCACAAATTTCAACAGCACTTGCAGTTCTTTAGGAAATTAATCATCTGTTCTCTTCCTGAATCATGCCTTGTTTGGTGGGGTTTGTTTCTCAAGACAGCACACTGAATAAATATTGTCTCAGGCGTGTGATACATATTTTGGTGTGTGTGTTTGCATAGTGGGCACAGAGCGTGATGGGTGTCATGCTTCAAATTTTGTACACTTAGGGCAGGGGACTAATTAGTCTTGTATTTTTATAAGTAGCGTCATTGTGTTGCGTAACCCCAATAGCAGCTGACCAGCCAGTTTCAGACTCAGCAATCTCTTTCATCATTCTCACACTGAAACCCGATATTGGGAGCTCTCCACTGAAGAGGGACTGTAACACAAAACCCAGGATACCATATTTACCTCACCAAGGAGCCGGGAAATCCAGCCTTTCAGGCTGAATCCCCCTTCAGAGAGTACTTGTCTGCTGGGCCCAAACATTTCCTCCTCGTTTCTACAGCAGACCGACATTCTCCACTAATTACTACACACGTAGCTGATTTCTACACAGAAAGCGATTACTGGCTGTCAGGGGTTATTTGGTGTTAATAAGGACCACTTATGATACTGAGTGGTGGAATTATCTCACAGTAGTATCAGGCAGCCTGTCATTTCTGAAAAGTAGATTTTTTTTGCATCCTTTCTTATGTCTTTTTATTTGTTATTGCTACTGTGCATCTTTTGAAAGGTATATGTTTAATAGACTGCTTTGATCCGAGTTTTACTAGTTTTGTATATATTTTGAATTTTATATATAAGAAGCTTATAAATGCGGCCACCTACAGTGAATTTTTTGTAGACTATCTGGAGACTGCGATATATCGCCAAGAGTCTGGATTTAATGCCCAAGAGATAGACATTTTTGGTATTCTTAACAAACTGTGGGTCCACAATTTGTAATGTGAGTTAGACAGATTTAACAGGTTCCAGAACTGAGCTGTACAGAGGGATTGGATGGGGCCTCTCATTCAGAGAAAGGCTGAAATTAATGATCCAAACTGAGACATTTGAAGGATTGCTTTATAATGATGATGACAAGCTTGAAGGATTCCCAACAATCTGTAACCTATTTCTACAGCATGTACATACAAAACATAGGCCCCTCCCCTGCCTTGTAATGCCACAGTTAGCTGGGTGGAATACAAAAGAAATAAATGCAGCTGGCAATCTGAGCCATGTTATTGGAAATGTATTCTGCACATTTGTCTAAATTAAATAGACAATTGTGCAAGCTATAGTATGTATGTTTTTATTCATTCTCCAAGAGTCCATGAAAGAAGACATCTCTTCTGAGAAGAGCAGAGTCGGAATCCTCTTCTAATATTTTTATTTGTGTTCATCATTTTATTCTATTTTTTTTCCTTGCAATTCAGCGCTCACAAGAGAAAGTGCAGGAGGAGGTCATTTCTCACTGATATCACTGATGCTTTGAGCAACTACCTTTATGGATTTAGCCACATCCATTGACTGGTCCAGAGTAACAGCAGTTTGGTCCTGATCAGTCCTCTTGTTACTAGTCAAGGCTCATATCAGGACAGATCTGGACAATAGGATTCACCCTGCGCTTTGACTGAGCATCTTTAGTAACTGAGCCACTCAGAAACTCAAAAATAATTGATATACAGTAAGTACCAAACCATTTTCATAATAAAATGATTACAATCGAGTCAATTCTAAAGCAATAAAACAACCCAGATGATTGGAACATTGTATGAAAATATGAAAACAATACTTAAAAATAAAACATTGGATATTTTGAGGGGGGTCATGTACTGGGTGGAAAATATAATTCCAAATAATCCATTACCAGAAGCATTGTGCATCTTATATTTGTGTGGATGGGTAGTATTCTTAAATCAATTACACATTTTAGCCAGCAAAGCACATGCTAATGCTCAATTGTTTTGTTTTGAGAGTGATTGTGTTGCATTATCATTAATTTCCATGGTGCCCTGTAGTGGGCTGTAATGGAGTATCGTGTTGCATTAATGTAATGAACCTGATACCCTGAGTTGAACTGTGTTGCTGGGAATGATTATATAAACACAGTGCAAAGATGCCCTCTGCATTGCAATCAGAAACAAGGGCAAAATGCTGTATTGTAGGTTGAGTAAGTTTTAGGTTTTTATATTATGTTCAAGAAAAGCCTCTTTAGGGTGTTTAATGTGGTATATTTCACTCTAACAGATAGTTTCCTTTGACTTTAATATGCTGCTTATTTTTGCTCTTAGTGTCAATGTCACAGGTATCATCTCAGCTGTAAGTTTCAGGATGCACTGACTGAAATAGCTACATTGTAGACTTTTATTTTCCAGAAGATGTCAGTACATTTCAGCATCTTGTTCCATGTGTGAATGCAACCAAATAACACATTGAATTGTCTTGTTTGGCCTGAAAGCCTTACAGTATGTTGTGTTTCTTACAACCCCCCAACATTTCAAAACTATGCACATGCTGCATATTGCAGCAAGTCAACATTATTGAAAACATCCATTAGTCATTAGTGTGTGTCCTTCAGTCTGTGTCCTTGCCAGGAAAACAAAACTCTTTCACCTTTGGATTTTATTGCAATTGTGCTAACCAGTCGCAACGTCCACACACTCATTCTTCATTAGTGCCTTCCAAATATAGTAGTGTGTCTGCTAAAAGTGAGCTTCCTGTCAGGTATTCAGAAGGGAAATGCAAAGGTTGGGCAATGCTGTGATTTTAATAAGGATTTGCAGGAAGCATTTTGGCCATTATAGGTGCACATCTTATGCATTGGTGAGTTAAGATGTCTGGAAATAATTTTAAGGCCCAGCTGAGATATGCTGCAGACATGGTTACCTCTAGTTTTAAGGCCAATGCATAACAGGGTTTTTTTTTATTTTCGTTTATAAAGTAAGTTCTGAAAAATATTTCAGTGAATGATACTTTAAACCAAAACAATACAGAGTGAAGGAATATGAGGAAATCAAGCTCCTTACTGAACGTGCAGTGGAGGAAATTTGAAATCAATTCAAAGATATTTCTGCTTCGGAAAGGTGTGTATATGCTTGGTTTCATTTAGTTGTTTGTGAAAATTAAAAGTATTCAGTAGCTTAAATGTGCTGTTAGAGAATGCTTTTCTATCTTGGATTTGATATTTTTGCTAAATTGAGGTTCCAAAAAACGAAATGCATTAAGACTTGAACTTCATCACGGCGCTTAAAAATAGTGAAAATCGATACAGTGCATCACCACTGACCTGAACTCTGCACGGCTGCCTATTGATTCCTTTGTTCACTAAGTGCCCTCCATCGCCTCACTTGTTTAAGTGAAAATGATACATTTGATATGTAACCAATATTTATTAGTAAAAAATAACCTAAAGGAATACAGAAATGTGCTTGAGAGGTCAAAAGTACTGTATTGAAAACAAGCAATTTGTTATATAAAGCTCCGCTTTCCAGAAGTGTCTCATAATGTATTTTTCTTGAATTTCTGGCATTGCGCGGCATAACGACAAGTGTCCCCCAAGGAGAAAGATGATTCTGGAGATAGCTGTGCATTGGCTGCTTAGCATTTGGGTGTCTTCATGCTGACAACTTGATGTTTAAAAGCCAATGGAGAATAAGGTGCACTACTACTAAAAGAGGCTAGTGCCAGTTTCAAATGCTAAAAATTAAAGCATGCAGCAATGGAAAAACTATTCCCATTACTTTCTTGTCCCAAAATTTGCAGTTCTTTAGTTTCGAGTGGGGAAACTTAGCAAAAACCTTTGAGCTAATAATCCTACCCTGCCGTAGAAGAACAACTTCAGTTTCCCAGTTGTTTATGTCCAAAGCTGATAGGACCCCATTCGGGGCTGCTGCTGTTTCAGTAAAGACCTGTGTTGTTCAGGACCGTAAGCCAGGAAGCGCTCTGTTCGCTGGGATTGCCAGATTCCATTTGCCGTGTCAGTCACAGAGCGGACAGCTGCTGCGTGTCGCTGGCGTCACTGTGCCATGGGCACTGGCGATCCATCATCGCTGCTGCTCAGCAGGCCCCCGGTCAACATTCCACTCCGCTGCTGCAGGCCTGCTGGCACTTTGAACCTTGCTCGTCCAGATGGCAGGATGCTTAGCAAGCACTCCTCCTCAGGTGAGCACATTACTTTGTTCAGTTACTGAGCTATACATACAGTGCAGTCATTGCCAAGTGCTTGTGGGTTTTACATAAGATGTATATATCTATTGGCAATGGAGGCCTTTGTTAGAAGGAGAAAATGATATCTTCTCCCCAGAAAAGAAATACATGTTTAAGGGTAATTTCATTTCAGTTCAATATTAGGTCTAATTTTTCATACATTTCATACAAAATAAATACACTGTCACTGGTATCATAGCAAAGTATGCACTGTCAGGTCAGTTACAGGAGCTAGATGGACTAGCCCTTCAGAAAGAGCGATCTGTCCTGTAAACCGTACCTGCTCTGGCAGGATTCACATTTCTGAAAAGGTCTCCCCCATAACAGGACACAGCTGAGCTCTGAGTGGCAAAGCACGGAGATCTAAGGTTTGGTGTATAATTTCTCTTCTCACACCACTGCATGCTCCCTCCAGCTCAGCACTGCTCACACCTGCTCATAACCCACTAGAGCATGCTATTAAAAACCCATTCATTAGAACTGCCGTTGTGTTATGCTTGCACTCTCCTGATCTCCAGCTCTAGTGATGATTATGGTGTCCTTGGGGAGTCCTGCTGATTGAGATTGTGGTGTGCTCTCCTAACCTAGTGTGTTTGCCTGATTGTAACTGATAACTTGAGTTATTAAGGGAGAGAGAACCCCGAAATTAAAGAACCTATTGTTAGAAGCTGCAAATATATACTGTACATAAGGAATATATTATATGCATCTGTGTGTACAGTATTTGTGACAGCTAAAAATATATTTGTACATGATATGGAATAATATTTTGGGAGTGTGGAACAATACTGCTCAGCTGTGTAGTCGAAGATTATACCTCAGCTTTTTTACTGCTGCATGAGTTCCTCAGATAAATTAGTTTCTTAAAACCAAAGTGTATATGGACCATACACTCCTCTTAAAACTTTATGTTCATATGATATTTGTGAGGTTAACTTTTTCATAAATCCCAGTGATCTTACTCTACAAATGTTAACATCATTGTGATTATAATAATTAATTCAAAGTTTTTATTACAATTAATTTGAACAGATCAGCATAATAAGGACAAGATAAGTGTAGTGTTTTTCATCAATTCCAAAAACATTAAGAGCAGTGAAATACTATGTTCCATTAGAAAACACATACAGTATAAATGAGAATACGGTATGCCTGCATATCTTGTAAATGCTTCCAATCAGCCTTTGTTATTTAAGCATGCAAACATATTAACAAAAGGATTTGTACTCCCTGATTTCTGAATGACATCCTTCTGTTAGCAGAACACGTGCTGACAGTACCAGCAGGCAGGACATTTGTCTGAAATACCTTTGAGGGTTCAGCTGTCAATAGGGTAAATAAGTGTGGCTTTATCTATGTTAAAAGCAGGCTATCAATGGTCACTTAGTATTATCTAGGTACACAAAGCCTTTGTCCTCTGCAATAAAGGCAGGTATCATGATACTAAGAAAAGAAAACAGAAAGCTGCACACACACAGCCATCTCCATGTGCGTAATAAACTGAAGCGAATGTAGCTTCAATAGACTTCAGAGGGGAAACCATTAACCTGCTTTAATGAAAAAGCCATATGCAACAGATGCAGAACAGACAGTGTGGTGTTGCATCTGCCAGTTCTAATGTGCACCTTGTCTCTTTTGGTTTCACCCAAAACATTTTTTTTATCCTTTTTAAAATTTTATGATTTTTTGAGATAAGGATAATAAATCTTAAACCTGCAGGGCAGACCTTTTGCAATGCTAAAAAGGATAATGCTAATCTATATGTCATGCCCCTGTGGAACAGGTGTATGGATGTGTGAAAAAGGAAATCATTGACTGTTGTAACACATGTAGTGATGTCTTCTGCATGTTTATGTGGTTACCCCTGAAGATGCCTAAATTGCTGTTGGCACAGACATCTTCGTACAGCCGTAACAGCACTGAATGTTCTACAGTGCATATCTGCAAAGATAAAATTATACTTTAAAGACATAAAAAGGAGAAAATAAAAATGAGTATTTGTTTTATGCAATGTAAACAGCATTGTGTGAAAATCATGAATGAAAACACTTCCACACATATTTGCCTGAGCCGTACAATATCTCCTTTTAAGATTTTGTATAGAGGGTCTCCAGTTTAAAGATACTGGTATGCCCAAGTTAAAGTATGCCTGCTGATCTATGTTTTGCATAATCCTAACAGTTCTTCACTGTGTTCTGACAGGTTCCTGCAGATGATTGGTGGGCACATAGAGGAGATTGGTCAGGTAGCGATGCGCCAGAGGATTGAGGGTAGTGTTCAGAGGGATGGACTGGAGATTCTGGCACAGAAACTGAACACCACAGTGGGCACATTACAGATCATCATTGATGGACTCACACAGCCTCAGGGCTTTGACATCAGACAGGGTAAGATGCCCTTGTTTCATGCATGCGGTCTATACTATCAATGTCCTACAGCAGCACTTGCCTCCTCTGAGCTGTTGAGGGGATGTGGTGTTCTCTTTTTCAGACAGAGCTTTTCATTTCAGGAACATTTGTGAAGCTTTATCTGCATGTGAATCACTGACACTAGGTTAAACAGTATTTCCAAAGAATGGAAATAAGAAGGGTTTAATTTATGGAAATGAATTATTTTATATAAAGGCTTAGCAACAGATGATAAATCAGTCCATCTTTTTAAAATAATTGTTCAGTCATAATGTAATGTTATTGATGAATTCCCATTATATGAGCTCATTATAACTATAATGAAATAAAGCCAGTCTCACTGTTATGCTTGAATTATAACAGGCAGTGATGGCAAGAAGTTTCCCACTTCTTCCTCAACTAAGAGAAAGTTGAAAATGTCTGATTTTCTTTACCTAATTAAGATAGCTACCTTTTGAAAACTGCAGGTTCACATTATGAAAATTGAGATGGAGGATCCTGATTTCCCCAGTTGCAAACATTTAGATGACAACTATTCAGCATGTGCTCTCTAAACTGTAATTCATCTCAGGCAAACAATGGTCACAAAAAAAATAGTGACTACCCATGCAGAAAAACAGGACAATCTGGTATGCAATGTGGTAAAGCTATATAGATCATCCACAATGGAGGTTTGCCAATAGGTTCATCAGAGGGATGTGTTCAGCTTGTTGGATTCTTGAAAAAAGTAATCCTTGTTTGGTTCCCAAAATGTGACACGGTCGGATGGCTATGTAGAAAGAGCACATATACTGTCGAAATCACTCTTCTGGAGGTTGCAACAAGCCTCAGGTGTTGTTCAGACTTCCCTTGTACACAAACAGCACCTTTCAAAAGAAAAGCCTTGATACTCTTTGAAAGAAAAGGTTAAAGACTTCAGTTCTGTTATTCTCTCTTTCCACTTTTAATATGTCAGACTTCCTGACTGTCAAGCGGCATTGAAACACTTCAGCACTTTGCAATATCCTAGCACTTAATACACTATTTTATGTTTTCTGTAGTTTTATTGTTTTTTATGCTACTGGTACTGTACGTATATGCACTCTTTGACCAGATGTGATTATAAGTCGTTTTGGTTAACAACAGATGAAAAATCTATACAGTGTATGTAGCAAACAAAAATGTGTTGTGTATTGCATCAATTACCTAACTGTTTTAATATCCTTTTCAGCTGACGTGCAAGGGATACTATCTTGATTGTACAGAAGGTTGTGTGTATTACATTTCATGTTACAAATCATTTTAGCTTCCTTGTGAGGTTTTGTTGTGAACTGACAGATCTAATGACAAATCCATTTTTCTGATTGAAATGCAATAAATGAAGCTCAAGTATGGGCACAGAGACAGGTCTTAGCTGAGCCTAAAGGGCCAATATTCCCCTCTTTTAATAAGCACAGGGAGATTTTGATTTAACTTCAGATCCTTCATGTTTTATGGTGCCCCAAAGCCATCTGTGAAAACCTTTATGTGTGAAACAGTTCTCAGAAGTGTAACCTGTGTCCTTTTCACCCATAGACAGTATTTTATATACTGTAAATAAAGAAATTCCTTTTTCATTACTTTTGTTGCAGACTTCGAGGAACCTGACTTCAAGCGTGGTATTGTTTCCATGAGCGATTTGAAAACTGGGACTGTGCTCACTGGGAAGGTGGAGAACACAACACTCTTTGGCGCATTTGTTGACATAGGGGTGGGAAGGTCTGGCCTGATCCACAAGAAGTACATCACTGAGAACAAGCTGCCTGCTGACAAGCGGCGCCGCAGCCTGGCTCTGGGCCCAGGCGAGAGGGTGGAAGTTCGTGTGCTCAACGTGGACATCCAGAGGGGCCGTATCGGACTAGACCTTATCCGTGTTTTGAGATAGGCCTTGGGTTCTTCTAATATTGTGTTTTTGCAAATATGCAGGCTTTAGTCAGTTGAGAGGCAGAATAATTGTTGGTTGGCTGGCCATGATTGCACAACTGCAGATTGAAGAGGGGACAGTGTTTTTGGACTTGTTGACTTAGAAGAGATTAGAATCCCATACATTTGAGTTGGAATGTCCACTGAAACTGTTTTGGGGAGACAGGAATTTGTTATGTTGCTCCGTTTCTTTCTCATTTTATTATTTTAAAAAAGTGCTGCATTTCTTCTTTTTCAATAAAAATGACAGTTGTCATTTCATTTTGAGTCATCATGGTTTATGTTAGAAGATATCCTAACATCTGGAAATACAAAAAACATATGATGTTTTATTTGAAAAGAAAACGCAGAACAAATTTCATACTTCATGTATTTAAATGAGAAAATACAAAAATGGTAACACCTATGTTATCAGTGTCTTCCTTTATTACAGCTTACAGCACCTGGTATTCCATCCCAGACAGTATTCCATCCAGGCCTGGTTAATACATGGAAGGGAGACTACCTTGGAAGACCGAGTGCTGTAAGCTTTTTAAAATCATTCTTCCACGTCAGAAATATCAACAGACTACATCCTATTTTGTCACTAACTTGCTGAAAAGCTGGTCAACCCTCTCGTCTTCTCTCGAATTGATTACTGTAACTGTAATAATCCCCATCTCTGAATTGGCTTCATCACTCAGTTCTTCTCCCCACTGAGAGCTGATGTGTGATGACCGCACTGGCACACTATGCTTGCCATCACGTCATCCAGGTGGGGCTACATATTGGTGGTGGTGGAGGGGAGTCCCCATGCTATATACTGTAAGTGTAAGGAATTATTATTATTATTATTATTATTATTATTATTATTATTATTATTGTTATTTTAACTTACTACTGGTGTATATCTAAATCCACACTGAACATGCCCAGAATTCAGCAGACAAACCTGACCAGGTCTTGTGCATTGGCTTCCTATCAGGTTTCGTGTCGACTTCAAAATCCTTATGCTCAACTGTAAGGCTCTATATGGCTTGGCACCTCAGTTCCAGTCTGACCGTCTTGTCTCCCTGCCTCACTACCTTTGTTAATCTAGATACAGGCTCCTGTCTGCTCCCCAAGCCCATCTAGATACTATGGGTGACATGCGTAAGTCTGTCCCTTAGGACTAAAACATTCTTAAGAAGGACTTTTATTTACATCAGAATTAACTGATTCTGTTTGCCCCTTTGCTTTCCTATTGTATACCAAATCCATATTGTAATTGTATAATTCTGCTGTCTCATCTCATTGTGTGCTTTTTTACTGTAAAGCACTTTGAAAAGCCACTTTTTAAGGTGCTATATAAAATAAAAGTTTATTATGTTTTTAACTACTACTCTTCCTCAGTGTCAGTGCTAAACTACATTGGCAAGAAAGAATGACTGAATACGTTTAGCAAACCAACCATAAAACAAGACGTTACTGCACCAGAATGCATCCCAACGTTAAAACTGCAGGACTTTTGGAACTGGAAAAGGAGAATAAAAAAGTAAATAACAGACATTCCCAAGTTGTCAAGATGTCTTGGGGCAGTAATATAATAGATGGCTCATCCCAGTAGGACTTTGCTGAGGTTATTTAGCGCGCTGCGCACAAGCACAAAGACAAAATTACCTAGAGTGCTGTAACTAAATTGCTGCCCAGTGGAAAAGGCAGGAGTGATTTCCATACCTGGTGTATATTGCTTTGTCTAACAAGCTGCCCCAGCTGAATTTTGAATTGTGGTGTCCCAGCAGACTTCCCCAGCTGCAAAGCTTGATTGACGGACTCTATGGGCAGATGCAGATGCCAGACTGCAATAACGTGGGGGCCTAGGGAAAACAGAAAGGCAATTATTGGAGGATAGTAATGCACTAATCAGGCAATTTCAAAATTAATCCCATATTCCCCTACTGTATTATGTCTTCTGTTTATATTTATTTAGTGAACCACTGCTAAAATAAAAAAAAATTCTTGCCTCCAGCTCATCCACAGCTCTCCGAGGGTGTTAATTTGTTGGGGGAGAATACTGAATGTAGAGGGGAATTTTTTAGTCCAAAAAAAGGAAGTTTTTTTAAAAGGTAAGATGTGGAATAAACAGACCACCCTGCGATGGAGTGTTTTTTTTATTTGTTTGCTTTCTGTGTTTTGAACTCTTAACTTATGTTAATTTATTATTTCACTGTATATCCAACAAGAACAATCACTGGAGGAAAAGTATCTGACTTTACTGTAGTTATACAGGAGCTGTACTTCAGATAAACTCCTTTGTACCTTTATTGCTTCGTACACGCAACTAAATAAATGTTGCTTTCTTTTCATTAGCTTTTTCCTGTCCTTCTGCTCTTTTGTTATTTGGAACTGTCCCATGCGTGTATCTCATGAATAAATGGTACCTGCTACAAACCTGGCAAGCCTTGGCACAAACTCCTGCCTATCTGATGCGATCAAAATGGTAAGACATCACAAAAGTCATTTAACACAGTCAGCTTTAGACCGACGCACCTTCGGACAATGCCATCAAAACCAGACTGAATGTAGCTGACTGTAAAGAGGATACGTTTTGGCGATCGCCAAACGAAATAAAAAAATCACTCGGCTTCAATCTGAAAATGTAATCGGTCTCTCTGCTGCGTTTTCACAAAGATGCTAAACCTTTTTCTATCCAGATCTTTATCATTATAAATGCAATTACCTTTAGATGTGTAGAAAGTGGTAGGTAGCGTTTGCCCGCCACAAATCAAGGCATTTGCTTTTGTTTTCTTTCTCTGAGTAAAGCTGTGATTTATAGTATTGGACAGTATATGGCTTTTTCAGCTGTTGCTCATTATAAAATTATTTGGCAGCCAAATATCTTGCTTTTCAAGGGTTAAACCGAAGACAGTTAACATTGGACCTATATTAGGTTATTTATGTATAAGTTATTTATAATGAAGTATACAGCTTCGTTATAAAGCAGCCTTATAATGTCAACACCTTAAAATCTGACAGTGTTCTCTATCTGTGTATTCGATACCTTAATATTTTTCTGGCTGTGCTTGAGCTATCTTCTATATCCCCACACTTCCACTTACCCCTCCAATTGTTCTACCTGCTTACTTGACTGAACTCTGTTCAATTCGATCTTCACGATAACCTCATGCAACATCTTCCTGTCACAAATACTGTCAGGAATTAGATGTGTACAGTAGTTCTCCCTAGGAATTGAATTATCTTAACTTTCATCACCATCTTTATTCTATCAGAATACCTGGTTCTTTTAAATCGGTCCCACTCTTGAGCAAATGTGTATTTTAAGCAGCTGACTCACTTAAAAGGAAGTGCCCCTCCCACCAAATTCATGCTGAATTTTTTCCTGATTGCATAGTTTTTTTAGTTACCTAAATTAGTGAAAGCCATATTGAGACATAATTTAAACAAATGTGCTGGCTGTGCAATGTCTTTGGTGCTGACTTGTAGACTGCTGGAGGGGAGCATAATAAATGAGTGGCTTGCATGCCCACACGGCACACGTTTCCATGTTAGATGATGTGATTGATTTTCAGAAACATTTGTTTCTGTAGTAAGTATGCCAGATTTGTTTTGGTAAGAGAAAAATACACATCTGTATGTATATACATAAGAAATACAACTGTTTTATTTACAGTCTGAATACTTGGGAATATTTGCTTCCTGGTTGACAGAAGAAAACGCTGGATTTGCTTGCCAATATAGTAGAATGCTGGTCTTTGTTAGGATGGAAAAGAAGAGCACTGTTTAAATCAAACCTTATAGGTTTTTGAGAGAGAAAATAGATTAAAAAAACTGATAAGATAAAAAAAAACATGGATGAAAAGCTGTCACTGTCGTGTAGCTGAGGAGTTATCTGAAGATTTTATATCTAACACCTACTCACTTTTATACTCACATCACAGCAAGTTCAATACAGTGTTGACAAATTCAACAGTATAACCTAATGCACTGAATGAATTCACAGAACTGTTTTTAATCATGCTAAGTATTTTTGTTTCTTACATCCTGTATATGTGACACCAAGGAGTATTTCCTTGTACAGACTTTTTAAAACAACTGTATTTTTGCATCCTTGTTTCAGTGGACATGATTACAAATGGTGAGCTATGCTTTTATACCAAGGATGTATGATTTTGCTGCATTAGCAGTTTTAAACAAAAGCTGTGCACAAGCTTTGCTCACTTCAACATGGCACATTCAACCACAACATCAACAAGGTTGTCAGTCCATCAGAATTGCAAGTAAATGTGTATGTGGAAAAGAATGTTTGCCAATCTTTGTTTAACGAGTTCTGTCCAGGACGGTAGAGTGAGCAGAACAGAGGAAGGGTGAACTGTGGAGGAGACAGGCATATGTGTAGCTGAAGACAAGCAAGAAAAAAAAAGACAGGCACAGAAAACTTGATGGGAGCACAAATTAGAAAGGGGACGGGTGCAGATTATGAAGATACTCTACACCTCAGCAATGAACAGCTTCTGACCCACAGAAACACCACAGCAGAGTCACTTGTAGCTGCGTACCCAGGCAACGTGATCCCTGAGTAACAGGCCCGTCCGCTGGCTTTAGTTCAGTGTAAAATGAATCATGTGTTTAACAGCTTGAGTGCACACTCCAGGAGATCACTCTGCCCCAGACATGAGCACAAACCCACCTCCCAGCAGTACTTGCACCATGTCCCACGTCCATCACATCCACAGTTATTATTCACGAACAATTTCTCTCATTCATTTTCCATCACTAGGGCCTGCTGTTAAAGTCTCGTAGGTGAAAGCACTTGGCAGAAAAAGATCCCAACCTTAGCCTAAACAGGCAGATCGAAAGCACAGCAAAGTGAGATCGCATGAGGATTTGGAGTGTATCAGTGTAAGCAGATCTCTCTGGTAAGAGGTCCCATTAGTACAACACTGAGGATCTTGACTGCAAGTGGAGGCCATTTTGTATAAGGCAAGTTCTCGGGCTCAGTCAGTTTGTCGGATGTGGTGAACATTGTTCATCAAAACACTTCAGAAGGCCTCCTCCCATACAATGAATATTGCAGCACATAAAGGTACTTTGCCAGGCAGGAGTTGCTGCAGGGCTTTACCTTAATAGTCTGAACAAGTGTCAAGAGCTTTTTTAGTGCATTTTAACTTTAAATTAGTTGTCAATTTTGGTTGGCACCAATTTCAAAAAGACACTTTAATAGGAGAATGAAAAATAAACCCCAACTTTTACAAGTGGCTGCCAAATTTCTGCAAAGATAAATAGACCCAGAGGAGCAGTAATCACTGTTTATCATTTTGTCAGGCCCGGTGACTTGAAAAGTAATAGCCCGTCCTTGTTTGGTGTCAGAAAAGAGCAATATAACTTGAACTTGTCAGGTGCGCTTCACACGGTTTTAATTTACATGTTGTGGCAGTGGTTATGGTTAGTAGGAACCGCGTTCGTGTAAAAAGGAGAGAGGAGATCCTTCTATATGGTTTGTGCTGTTTGATGGATAAGAGGATAATAAACGATGGGAGGTTAGAATTTTAAAAAGACAGTTATCTGTCTGATGATGTGCTGTGAACATTAACAGCTCTTGAATGATCTGACTAAGTGGTAGATATTAAAATAAAGTTGAAACAAGACTGTGTTGTGTCAAGGGAGCCTGAGGGAAAGTAAGGAGAATTAAACAGTGATTTCACGGATGTCCTTAGAGACAGGGCATTTGTTCTTTAATAGGGAGAAAAAAAGCACCCTACAGATAATTAAAAAACTGATCTAAGATGTATGTTTCTGCTTGTTTAAGGTCCATGAGCAGAGACAAGTAAAAG